TGACAGCAATTGATGCAAGATGAACATGATGATGTCTAAACATATTGGATACCACATTCTCATGTTAACAAACATAGACCAAGCCTCAAGCAGAAGTTTCAAGACAAAACAAATGTACATTTAGCATGACAATGGCAAACCTCAAATTTCAAAGTGTACATCTTATGATGGTTACAAATATTTGACAGCAAGAAAAGTATCATGAATCAAAACAGGTTTTAATAGTCACATGAATCATTCCAATGTTTTTATCAAGTTCAACAAGATTACAACCTAATAGCAAAACAAGAATGGCAATACTAAACAACCAGCAGTTCCCTCTTCAAAATAGTTGAGATGCATAAAGAGATCGGAGCATGAAACTTTGGCAGTCAAGTGTAAAAACAGACAGGCACATATTACAATCATGGTATATGCACAGTTTTCACATAAAGATACAACAATAAGGTATTAGATTTGAGAATGGCATATCAGTTGTAAATTGTACATTTAGATTGAAAGCATAAACAGAAAGTTGCAGTTCCAAATCAAACCTAGTTTCAAGAACTCAAACACAACATGAATAGAACATATAGGGACTCTAATTCAAAATTGTCAACAAAAGATCAAATTAAGTGAGGCTGCAATGATACCTCCCAAGCTGTTTTGCAGCAGAACCAACATAAAACAAATATGACTCGTGATAACAATCCAACAATAGCTCATGACAGAAATTAACTCAACATCCACAAGACATAATCATACCAAGGCAAAGGCATATCCAAGGAAGTTACATGCTCAAAACAGTTGGCACAACACAAACTGGCAGATTTACATATGGACCACATTTTTGCATTTAAACACCAATCATGCCAATCATGCTCATGACAGAAATGGAAGGGATAGTGACTACTAACCTTTTGTAGACCTCTAAACAAGCTTGTTGCAATATGGAATGCTTTGAGAAAACTCTAGCTGTTGTCCAACCAGAACTTTGATGAAAACAACTTTTCTTGTACTTGAAGGAACTTGTGACAACTCTCAAAATAAATGAGAATGAGGTTGTTTTATGTTATGGAAAGTTGATACATCATATATCAAAGGTGTGTGGATGGTTAGAATGATGAAAATAGGTCTGGACAGAGATTTGCTTGATTTTGTGTGTGAGGTAAAACTTGCTTGGTTTGAAAGTTAACTTTTGAGAGAATGGAGTTTTTGAGTGGTTTAAGAGTATGAACACCTTCCACACATCATTTATGGATTGTGCAGATGGTTTTTAAGGGATTGGAATGTATGGAAATGGATTTGGGAAGCCAACTGCCCAAGATAGATTTTGATAAAACTTAAAATTTTGAAAATGAAGCAAGTAAGAAAGGAATGAGAGCTGTGGTTTTATCTTGGTTCTAAGAGTGCTCTGGTGTGTAAATGACATAGAGGGAGCCTCTATTTATAGAAAAAATGAAGGGTGAGGACAGATTTGTAACTTGGCACTTTTGGAGGGATTTTGAAAAAGTAACCCTTTGCTTGAGGTTTTGATGCAGCTGCAAGATTAGATCTTTGGCTCAGCTGATGCATTGCTTCAAGTGATTTGGATTACATAATGGTGATTAGAGTGGCTAGGCAATAGGGGGCTGTTTGCTGCAAGTGTGCCAAAAAGTTTCTCTTTCTTCCTATTATATGATTAAAATACTCCCACTTGCCTCCAAGTTGCAAGATTTTATAAACCTCCTTATTTGTTGCATTTCTCCTCTTAAAATCCTCTAAATATCAGATAGAAATAAGATCCAAGGGCTGAGAATAGCTCAAGTAGTCAAAGGATGAGTTTGTGAAAAATTGACAATGTGGGACTCAAGTGTTAAAACCTCATCTTGTTAAATTTATAACTCTCATCTCATAAGGGCTATGGAGGAGTTCTGCTACATTTTGGAAAACCCTCATGTAGCTCTAAAACTTTCATGTTTTCATGAGTTTCAGATTCCCAAAGGAACTTGGCCAAAAAAACCGCTCAAAGTTGCTGAAAAACAAACCTAAAAGTGAAATAACTTAGAATTTTTTTGTTACTTTTCCCTCTTGTAATGAATTTGATCATAACTCCAAATCTATGCATTTTATTCTCATGGACCACTTTGGGACTTTTGTAGGACTTATCAAAAGCTTTCCAATGAGCTTTGAACCAACTCAATTGGATGTGTGGTTAAGGAGTTATCGTCTTGCCCCTTTCAAAACCCTAATTCCCGACTTTTGCGATTACTCCTCAATCCTTGATCCAATGGTCATGAAATTTTATGGGTAGGTGAAATATGTAATTAGGAACATTTTTTATTCATATCTTGAGGACAAATTCCTTATGAGTGAAAAGTTGACTTTTCGATCAACCGAACAATCGATCGGTGACTACCGAATCGACTGTTGATGCTTCGGGCATTTTGAGGCCTTGAAACTTCTTGAGTAGACTTCAATAAGCCATATGAACTTTATGGATCATGATCCCACCATTGTAACACCTTTTAAATCAAAATTCAAACCACAATTGACTTTTCCTGCTCGAAAACACTAATCGGGTACTCTGAACTGCACTGTTCTTGATTCCTGGGTGACAACCTCAAATTGGATTCATACTTGATCCAATGGAATATATTTGATGATGTGGATACCTATATCAAGGAGAACCAATCCAAAGCGTTGACTGATTAACCTTCGAAACCTCGATTTCGGCTGTATGGAACCCTGATTCATGTATCTTAACAAAGACAAACTTGAAACGGGTTAAGGTTAGATAATTAAATGAGTATGATCCTAAAATGATGATGAAGATCTAAGGGGTCAAAATTTGGGGTATGACAGTTGTCCCTATTTAAATATTTTTCACTGAATGGCAGTGAGAGATGACAATCCTCGCAGAATCGTAGTGAAAGGTATTTAAATATAGTTGTTGCACCCTAATTTTGGACCGTAAGATCCCACCTATTTTCGTTTTATTATTTGACTTTAATTTAATATTTATATTCTTTATGGATAACTAATTCATGCAGCTGCAGTAATGTAAGTGCAGATCCTTACAGTCAAGCGCTTCAAAGTGTGACCTTTGGATTTTTGGAAATCCTGAGTTTATTCCGTAGTTGTAGCACTTCAAAAAGAGAAAGAATGTCGTTTGTGGGTTTTCTTTGAGATTAAATTTCGTGCAAATTATTGGTGATGGATATAAGAAAATTCAAGATAACTCAATCTCATATTCAAGCTTATTCAATTCGGGTCACTATAAATAAGTTTTTTGTGGATTCATTTACATTAAAGAGATGGACTGCTAAAATAAAGCTCAACATTATAAGGGGTCTAAGGTTTATTCAAGAGTAAATTCCTACCAATAATTAAGTGGCTATAATATGTCATGGAAATACATTCAGCTACCACCTATTTATAACCTGTTGGGAAGTGAATCTCGACACAGCCACAATTTGGAGTTTTCTCCCAAGGCCACCCTTACAACAATTGAAGGCATAATTGATTAAATTAATAACAAGGAAGAATAGCCAACGGAAACGACTTAAGCTTTCATATGGCCGGCATATTGACAAGACTTTGCACGACCGTTAGAGTTTCTATTGATTTTATAAATGTTCTTTCTCTACAAGACCAAAGTAACCCCAAATTATAGCAAGCAATGGATTACAAAGACATTCCATACTTAATTGGTATATGAGCAATTCAACAATTATACAAGAAGTCCTAATCCTAAGCTATCCCATATCCCTTCTGTGCCATTCATACTACATCACTTGAGTAATGCCGTGCTAATCTTGAAAGGCCAGCGCATATTAATCAACTTCGTGCATATACCTGCAACTTAAACAAAGTCAGAACGGACAACAACGAAATCATCACCAATTTTGAATTCGAGAAAGTCATGACCGTGACATCAAACAACTTACCACGGCGGTCAGATTCTCTTGGAATCCAAGGCTCCAGACGTGAATAACAGCCTCGCATTTCATTCTCTCCTTCGCAACTTTTCCAAAACCCCCATCCCTGCTCCCCTGGTTCTACCGCAAACTAAAGCCTGCGCACAACAGCACAATATCAGAGAAAATACTAAAAGACCAGGATTTCCATTAACAAAAAATAAAAGAGGTATCATGTAACTGATAGAGGAAACCATCATCATTTGTCTTGGATAGCACCTTTATGACTTGCCCTGTGCACACGTCCATTCACTGTTGCTGCAATGTAAATCTGGAGGAATATGAGAATTCCTTAAAAACCTCACGAAAGCATTCCAAAATATATGATGGTATTCACGCGGCAGCAAAATATTACACAGGCACATCAAACATTCAAAAATATAAACTCATCATCATCATCAATTATAAGCAATACTCATCAAGCAAGATATGGAATATGTCAGTCACGCAATCACTAACAAAGACAATGCTCAAATATATCAGCAATTTACAAGACATAAAGTAATGCATAAATGACAAGTCACAGGAAGAGATTTAATTCAATTCTAACTAAAGGAACTTTTGACATAATCTAAAGAAGATCAAGTTCAAGGACTTGTGAAGAATAATGATTAAATACCAAGTTGACTCTCCAATTGAGCAGGTGCTTATGCGGAATGTTGCGTTTGTCTTTCTGCCTATGAAGATGATATTGAATTAAGACAATTTCCTTATTGTCATCATTTCCATTGTGGTTGTACAAACAGATGGCTGCATATTAATACAACTCACCCCTCTGCATGTACGAAAGGTTTCTAGGAACGCTGTTGGAATTTGTGTACTTCAGTACATGAAATAATCATTTTGAGGCAATCAATAAGCTACTAAGTTTCCAGCCTGAGGATGAGTTGATGGTACGACCTGCTAAAAATACGCAGAAAATGGTTCAATTGCCGGTGATGTATCTATTGGTCAAGCTGCAAGCATGGATTACACCCGACCACGACTACAACAACACTAGGTATCATTCATTCGCAACACCAACAACCACTTTGTTCTTGTAGTTCAAAGTTGAAACGCAAGATGGAGTTGACTTTAACCGAACAAGATGCGGCTCATTGGGTTTACAGAGGTGAAGGTGCTGCTAATGTTGTTGTCTCATACACTGGTTCCTCTCCTTCTTATATTGGGAAAGTGATGCGCATTCGCAAGTCTCCAAGGAAGGCATCAACGTCGCCGGGATTGAGGAATACCATAGCTCTGTCTCCACATGAACACCTCATCTGGAAAGAAATACATGAACTTATTTCCTCTTCAGATAAGGAAATTGCTGGCCAACTATATGTCGATCATGTCATGAAGCCTTTGTTGGGATCCAAATATGTTGATGTTGGGACTCACATTCTGGTGACCAAGAAATTCCTAGAGACTGTTGAGCAGAATATTGATAGTCAGCCTCCTGCTTGGCGAATTGATGTTTCCCAGGTGGATAAGCAATGTGATTTTACTCTTCTCATGTCGGATCATTCGATCTTCCCTCAGGGTAGTCAAGGATCTAGCCACAGTATATCAGTTGAAATAAAGCCTAAATGCGGATTTCTTCCACTTTCAACATTCATATCTGAAGGAACTGCTATAAAAAAGAACATGCTTTGCACTGTCCAAGAAAGACTCTTATGTTATGTCTGCTTCTGGAGGAAAATTTCCCTGTTCAATATGATGACATTCAAGACGATGACAACTTTCATGCCACCACCACCAGCAATTCATCCTGGGATGTCCGTCTTCTGGCGCAATTCGTTCGCTTTCTACACCCATCAAACGTCAGACAGAAGTTAGCAAATTGTTTGGGGAAGATACCATTTGAATATCCAACCTAAATCCAAAACAAACCCCAGATATTTTATCGACACAATCATACAAAAACAGAAACTTTCTTAACAGAATTATATGTGTTAGCATTACCTTCCAAAGTGGTCCAGACAAGAATCACCGAATTTGGAAGCCTCTTCACTCTTCTTCAATTTACATTATCCCCTGCAACTATATATAAGACACAATCATATTCAGAAAGAAAAGGCAAGGAGACATAACAATGAGAAACCACCATAAACGCACAAACAGAACTCAGAAAAAACCCACAATATTCACAGAATTCGCAACATTCACAGAACAAAAAATCCAATAACAAATTCGAAACCCCAAAATCCCAATTTGTAAATAGAAGAGAACTTATATGTAGCCATCATCACCGTTACCGCGAATCCATCGTTGGAGAACCTCTTCCGTCGCCGTCAACCATCTTCAACGAGACCACCTCCGCCAACCTCAACCGTCACCCTCGTAACCCTCTTCCTTTTATTATTTTCGACTGATTTGTGTTTTTTTCATTGTTTAGGTTTTTCTCGGGATTTTTGTTTCATGAGGAGAAGAAGATAGAACAAGAGAAAGGAAGTCCAGGAAGTAGAATGGAGAATGAAATCGGAGGAGAAAATGGAAGACCGAGAGAGAGAACGACGCCGAAGATTTGGGGGGGGGGCTTAGGGTTTTCTTAATTTTGTTTTCGTTTTATGGTGTAATCATGTATATGTACACCCTACTATAGTTATGATACACCCTCACACACAACCCTCTGATCTCCAACGGATCAGATCGGGTTATCCATATTACACGCCCACGTTGCACCCTCGTAAACCATCCACATTGAATCCATTCGCCCCTTAACCTAATCACCAATTAATACCTTAATCTTCTTTTAAAATTAAGATACTTAACCTTTAACTATTTAACCTTTTAATTAAATTAACTTCAATCAGCCTTTTAATTAATCAATCTTTTCATAATATCTCTTTTATTATAATAATCCAGTAAAACCTTAAAAAATATATAACTTATTTGTATTTTATTGAATCTATTTTATATTAACCTTTAATACTTTAATAATATTACCTTTTAGTAAGATATTCTAGTTTGTTTGTTTTTTATTCAATAATAGGATCCCTTTTATTTAATAAAACTCATTTAATATTTTAAAATAATTTTAAAAGTAATAAAACCTCTTTTCTTAACTCTAATAATAAATAACCTTTTCACAATTTATTTACTAAAAAACAACACAACTTTATATAAAATTAAACCATTTCGAATCTAAATTAATCTTTTAAATCACTTATTTAATATATTAAGACCTTTTATCTAACTAATTTATAATTTTATCTCATTTCACTAATTCAAATCAATTACAATCCCACTAAGTTATAATTCAACTAAATTAATATAACTCTTTTAAAATCAATCTCACTAAAATATTAACCTTTTTCTCTCCTAAAATCAACCTTTCATAAGTTAACATCACCCAAAAGCAATTTTATAAAATCAATCTTAATAATTAACTTTTTTCCCTAAAACTCAATTCACTCTCTAAAAATATAATTTTTCTTATAAAACTAAACCCCTTTAAATAAAATAAACCTTTTTCAATTTAAATAACTTGTATAATAACCAAAACTTACTTTTATTTATTTAGAAAATCTTTTTTTATAATAATAAAAAAAAACCTATTTCATAATCGATTTGTAATAATTGATAAAACTTTTTTCTCACCTATTATATTGAGTAAACCTTTATTTAATTAAAATTATTTCACCCAAATTTAATTTATAATCTAACCTTTTAGTAAAAACTAATAAGACAAATCCAACCATTTTCTCATCAAATTAACTTTTATTAAAACTAATATAATCAATATAACCTTTCATAAAATCAATTCCCCCATTTTAAACAATTCTCTTAAAATCAATTCATCTAATAGAACTTTCTTAAAATCAATTAAACCTCACCAATTTCATCAAATAACATGTTTTCTCAATCCCAAATTAAAAATCAACCCTACATCGTAAATCAACAATCAATCGTGCACATTCACATCCACGGCACATTCACTCTCACACACTTTAGCGCTTTCATACGTATGTGTATGTTTACTTATTTGCCCTTTACTTTACTCGCAATTTATCTTCCGTAATTTACATTATCGTAACTTATTTTATCGCATTGCATTCCGTCCAAAGGAAAAACCTACACATGAGGCAACACTTGTGTGTAGTGCACATCATTTGCATCATTCTCCTCGTGATCCTTGATCTCATTCAAGTTGATATTCTAAGTTAGATCCTACCCCATAGGAAGGACCGTTATTGTTTACAACATAGAAACAAAACACACTACAACTCGAATCAATTCAATATTAGAACACAATAAGAGAAATAGATGTTAATCATCTTAAGCGAGATAGAATATCCACCCCACATCAATACAATCAATACCGTAGGAACTTTTCCTTAAGAGAGATAGGCGTACCTCGTCGATCCATATCCGAGTACTTGAGCCCTTCTCTTAAGATGATGCAAAAACTACATTCCTACAACTTGTGGCAGTTAAATCTCCCTTAAAATGAAGACACATCTTTTCTCCTAAAATCAATCAATCAACTACCCTAAACCCATAGGAACTTTGACCACAGTCAAAGAACTCCTCATACCCTTTAGGGGAACTACAGATACTCTGATTCCACTTTGTTGCACCCCAAAATTTGCTCAACCTTTTCTAACCTAGGTTTATGTTTCAATTGCATAGTCATTTGCATTGTCATCATGTACATAGTGTATTCATCTGCATGGCATAGCATAAGCAAGCTATCTTACTCAGGAGATCAAGTGCTATTCTTATCTCAAGAGGCATATCCAAGGGTTTCATTCATATTCAATACTACTCAGGTCATCAGGGAAGAATTTGAGTTTTGAAGAGTTGACAGGTTGATCAGTGAGTTCTCCCTTATCTTGAGGTTATTTGGGGGTCATCAGAGGAAGTGTCATCCACGAGCCAAGGGCATGAGGTGTGTATGGATGTTATGAAGAGCCTAGATGATCATTTTTGAGGATTAACCAAGTCATTGGAATGATTGCAAGAGCCTCAGTTGAAGTCAGTCAACTAGGGTTTTATCTGGGTCAACACTAGGTCAACCCTAGGTCAAAGACTTGTTTTGAAAGGCATCCAGGATCATTTGAAGAAGGTGGGATTCATTATTTGCTATATGGATATGGATATGGTGTTGTGCCCAAGAAAAATCAACAGGATTCAAGGAGAAGAGGAGTTAGCAAATTAGGGTTTCAGTGTAAAATCCCCTGATTTAGGTCAAACTTCAAAGCAGTGTAACTCAAGATGCAAGCTTCATATGAATTTCTGGTCCACATGAAACTTGTATAGTATCTTCATAGCTTTAATTTGAGTGGTGGAAGTCATCAAGATGATTTATATAACTCAAGTTATAGCTCTTGCAAGTTACAGGTCATCTGAGGGCACTGAAATTTGTCTGTGAAAGTTGTCTGTCTTCCAAGCTGCTTTTGACCTTCAAGGAGATTTCAAATGGATTTCTGGCCAACATGAGAGTTGTTCCTCATTGTCGTATCTTTCTATAAAGGTATGGTATGCATTCATATGATTTGTGGAACTCTACTTATGGTCTGGGCAAGCAAAGGGTATTTTGGTCATTTGAGAATTACAGGTCATTTCAAGCCTATGCCCAAAACTCATACAAGGAAGCTTCAAATGAAAAACTTCACAACATAAAAGTTGCTCAAAATGTCATTTTAAGTCTAGAAAAGAGGTCATGGAAGCTTGGAAATGCATAGAACAAGACTTGATTAAAGTTGGTGGAAAATGACTTGAAAATGGCATATAACTTGAAAAAGTTCAAGTTGGAAAATGGTTTGAGAGATCTACAAATCCAAAATGGGTCATTTAATATACCAAATTGATTCCAAACAACATTTTAAAGACAATGGTTTAGACACATTTTTGAGTTGAGGCCTAAAAATGGGACTTGCTTTGAAAACCTATTACTTGCATAATAAGGCAACTTTGCAAAACTCAACATAAGGCAAGGATCAGCTTGTTTTTCACACATACACTCCCAATAACTCATGAAAAGAGATTTTCAAGTGTGCTAAAGGGGCTGTAGAGGATATATCATGATATGAGGTGTGAGATGAGATGGGTTTCATTATGTCATATTCATGAAGTTTCTAGCATCCTCTAAGATCAATCCAGAAACTTCTAGATCTTTCTATCATCATCTATATAATGAATGTGGATCATTGGTGGAAGGGGTTAGTTAAAAGAGAGAGAGGAAAGTGAGGACTCCATTGTTGCTTCAATTGTAAGAAAGAGTGAATTCATACAATCAACACCAATTCTGTTCATTCTTCTTCTTCATCCACAATATATTGAATCTCTTGAGTGCATACATGCTGAATTAGAGAGCCATCCATGGAAGATTGAAGAGCTAGGGTTTGAAGTTTCAAGATCCATAACAGTTTTGAATCTCTTCATCCAAGCATTTTCCATACATTCTTTTGCAAACAGAAAGCTCCTCATCAAGCAAGGATCATTCTCGAAGGATTACGAGCATTGGATTGGACTGGAACCACCTCTGCCATAGCTACCTAGCAGGTTGGTGAATTCTCCTCTATCTCCGTGTTTATGTGTTAATTAGGTAGAAAGAATAGGTTAGAACTGTTAGGGTTGATCAGATGATTGAATTCAGAAAGTTAGGGTGAATTTCGTGAGGATTGATAACATGGTGATGAATCTTTCAAGATCAAGAACTCACAGATTATTGAGCAATAATTCACATGTGATAGCTTAATGAAACCAGTGCAACATGAAGAACACATTAATACCATTAGAATCAAGAATTGTGAGATTCCATTGCAGTGTAAAGTTGGTGAACCAGAGGTTTCTATCTATCGGGTTTGGAGTTCTAGGGGTTTTTAGGGAGA